AAGTTGATAAAGCCTCATCTGGAATATGCAGTTCAATTTTGGGCACCAATTCACAAAACAAAACATTGGGGAACTGGAGAAAGTACAGAGAAGGGCAACCAAACTGGTAAGAGGCATGGAGGAGATCAGCTATGAGGAAAGATTAGAGGAACTGAATTTATTCTCTCTTGAGAAGAGGAGATTAAGGGGGGATATGATCAACATGTGGCATAATGTGGTCCCCTCCCGCTATCTGTCGGGCACTGAAACCAGCCCATAGAGATACAGGAGGAACTTCTGTTCCCTGATCATCTCTATGGTCTTTGAAACCGCAAGCAGTAAGGATTTTATCTCTTCCGGTTTGGCTTTGTTGTTTACAAATCAATCTTGTTTTGATCAGATGCTTTTGAGGGAGGAGAGACCTGGGGTACCAGTCACTGCCCACCCTCACATTTCCAGCAGCAAGCATTCACAGCTCCATTTAACAAGAGTTTACTGATAGACATCCATTTGTTTTACATTACAAAGTAGTCAGATCCTCTCGGCTGGCTTAATTGTACCTGTAGTGGAGGGACATGACTATGACAAATGATAATACTTGTAGACAGCCAGAGGGACAGGAGAAGCCAGGAGGAGTTTCAAATGACTGGTCTCCACCAACACCTAGATGAACTTGTTTTTCAAAGCCAAACTCTTACCTTCAACCTTTCACAATTGTACAGGTGTCTCTCCAGTACTGAAACTGCTTTCCCTAAATTCACTGCACACCATTAGCTTCTCACAGTGTGCAGTAAAAGCAAGTCAGATAATGCCCACATCGATTCCTGGCTGGAGGACATTCAAGCCTTTCCTTCTCAACATTACCGTCTCTGGCCTTCCCAGACTTCAGTTCTTTCAATTGTGGAGGTTCAGTATCACCTGTGCATGTTACCTAGGGCAGTTTGCATGCAAAAACAGCCTGCGTAGAAGAGCTAACACCTCTAGACAGATATTCATCAAGGCATATTGGCATTTGCAAAACTACTCTCAATAGCTGGCCCACTGTGCTTTCATCAGTACACCAAGCAGGGTGCTGTGGTGTTTTTCAAGAATCTATGTACAGCACCCTGATGGTCCATTCCATAAGCCAAAATCTGCCTGCATTGCATAGAAAAGCACAGAGATCCAGTGAGGACACAACTGGATCTTAAATAAGGTATGTAATAGAAAAAAAAAGGTTCTATTTAAAAACACATTTATAAGCATGCTGATGAGGATGAACAAGAGGAACCAAGGAATGACAAATATAGGCACATTAAAAGGTCAGAGGAAATATACCCAATAATTAAAAGATTCTGGATAAACAAATCTAAGTCCAGTCACCTAAGCAGACATCAGGTTTCCTGTATTCAGGAACAGGCACATATCCAATACATGAATGATTTTGCTGAACTTCCATCTTGTTGTCCAACTATGTAAGCTGGTCATATTTCATGATTCTTGGCAGCAGTAAAAGCTAGAGAAAGCAATGCAGGATGAACCGCAAAGATCAATTTTCTGAAGGTTTATGTTAAACATTTTGCTTGACATCAAAATAGGAAAACCCAAAGTGCCGTTATCTTCAATTTCTGTCAGAGAAATGCAGGACCTTCACATATGATCTTTTAATCAATATGTTTGCTGTGTAGAAAAACAATGATCAGTATTTCACATACCACCGATACAGTTTGCCTTTGAAACATGAGTCACAGCTGGCTGTGGGAATTCAGTCTGTCAATGTCATTAAAGTGTAGAATCCATAGGAAGTCTCCCACGAGGGTTGCAGCAGTTGAGCATGGAAAAAATTCTGTAACTAGCTCGTCTGTACAGGACATTGTAACAATGCTTGTTTTAAAGAAGAACTATAGGCAAAACATTTTTTTCATTTTATATAAAGGAGGGTTGTAACCCCTGTCAGATTTTGCCTGCCATCTGTGTCACATTGAGGAAATGTACCTTCACAGCCTGTCCCATAACCACAACAGGAATTAATAGGAAAGTGAGGAAATCCTTGGTTGTCACCAGAACTACATTTCCCCTCTATTACTGTTCTGGTGACAACCCAAAATTTGAGATTTTCTTTTACTTTCGATGATAATGGTAAACATGAAAAAAAAAAAAAAGGTGAATCTCCCTAATGGGGGCACAAACAGCCATAAAAAAAAAAAAAAAAAAAAACCCTGACGTGTTCTAATCCTCTCTACTGTATCCAAAAAAAGTTTTTTAGTTATACTTTTACTCTTTCCCACTGAGCATATACCCATATATTTGGCCTCACGGAAGTGTATCTTTATCCATGGGACTGCATATATGCATTGCTGTGTTTGCACTGAGAGCACGCTGCACAGTGCAGTCCCTGGACAGAGACAGAGCTGTGATAGACAGCTCCGGGTCCTGCATGAAAAAATACAGAGCAGTGTTATCCGATCTCCTGATCGCTGTGCTGGCCTGTGATTGGCTATCACTGTATAGCCTGCCCCGTTTTTTTTTTTTTTTAACCTTGTCTTGATTGGAGAAAAGGTACATTGTATCTTTTATCTGGCTATCGTGGAGATCAGTCACTGTATAGCCTGCCCCTGTTTTTTTTTTTTTTGGGGGGGGGGGGGGGGGGTTTACCTTGGCTTGAATGGAGAAAAAGTACATTGTATCTTGTTCTAGCTATCACAGAGATCAGTCACCTATAACCTGCCCGTTTTTTTGTTTGTTTTTTTTTTATCTTGGCTTGAATGGAGAAAAGGTACATTGTATCTTTTTCTCCTTGCTAGAGGAGAAAAATATAAACAAAGAAAAAGCTGCTAAAAAAAATATTATTTAAACTACTTCAGCTCCAGTCCATTTCTGGAACTTTTTGTCCACAAGTTAAAAAATCTGTATTTTTTGCTAGAAACTATCTTACAGCCCCGAAACATTATACATATTTTTTAAAGCAGAGGCCCTAGAGAATAAATTGGTGGGTTTTGCATTGTTTATGTCACCTGGTATTTGTTCACAGAATTTTTTTGGGGAAAAAAAAAAAAAAAACACGCTGAATTTTAGTGCAAAAAACCACAATACACAATCCAAATTTCTTGTAAAATCTAAAAGATGTTATGTTGGGTAAATAGATACCAAATATGTCATGCTTTACAATTGCGCAGGCCACGACAAGACAACATACATTTTACTATTCATAGGCAACAATATAAAAGCCTTTACAGGTTACCACTTTAGAATTACAGAGGAGGTCGAGTACTAAAATTTCTGCCCATGATCTGATGTTTGCGGTCATACCTCACATGCGTGGGATGATCATTGTTTGCATGCGAGTGGGACAACCGCATGCGATCGCCTTAGCATGTCAGCATGGGGGGACAGGGACACTTTAATTTTTTTTTTTTTGATTATTCAATTTATTTTATTTTTACACTGTGGATTGAAATTTTTTAATCACTTTTATTGCTGTCACAAGGAATATAAAAATCTCCTGTGACAGAATTAGGCATGTGACAGGTACTCTTTAAAGAGGGATCTGGGGTCTATAAGACCCCCAAAATTCCTCCTTTGCACTTAAAAGCATTCAAAACACCAAGATCTGTGTTTCTGAATTTTTTATTTTTTTTAAATGGTGACGTTTACTTCTGAGTAAACCGGAAGTGGTGTCCCCGCTTTGTTTGGCTGTCCGGCCAACCGATGGATGTGTCGGCTGGTTGCTCTGTACTGCCGGTGGGAAATCCCGAGAGGGCGGCAGTGGTGGAAGAAGAGAGGGACATCTTCTCCCTCTGCTTGTACAAGCAATCGAGCGGCTAGTTTGCCGCTCATCTTGCTTGTACATAACAGCTGACTATCGGCTCTAAAAACTGGTACCAGTGTAATGCCTGCAGCTGCAGGTATCACTCCAGTATAACCACAGTAAGTCCAGCACCATACAGGCACATCAATGGTCTAGAAGTGGTTAAAATCATACAGATAAAACAGCTGGATCAGGGTTTGTTTTAAGTCAATGTCAGGGTTAGAGTCAAATCAGGATTAAAAAAAAATGCTTATTTAATTTAGTGTCCCTGTATTTCAGGTAGGATAAAAAAACTAATTGTGCACCATTGTTTCTGGACCCTACTACAGGCACAAACAATATACAATATAGATGCATTTCGTTTTTTCTGACTTTAATTATGTTTTATAATAAGCTCCGAGGAGCAGGGCCCTCCTATCCCTCTTGTATTGAACTGTATTGTTGCTGTATTGTCTCCCGTTATATTGTAAAGTGCTGAGCAAACTGTTGGCGCTATATAAATCCTGTATAATAATAATATACACAGAGTGTGGCATCGCTGCGATTGCCTGGAGAAGGGGAATTTGTGTTGGGTTGTTTTTCTGGGGGTAGGTCAGGGTCCTGGCAAGAAATATAGTATTAAAAACATTTTTGCGCAAGTTTCCCTTTAATAATAATTAAAAAAAAAAAAGGAGATATCCATTATTATTACCAACAAATGAAAGCCCAATTTGTCCTAAAAAAAAAGGTATAATCTACCTGGATACACTAAGTAGTTGGGATGATGTGTACAGTTTTACTGACACATGTCAAAGTGGCAAAACTGTGTTCAGGTGTTAAGATTTGTTTTATCTTCTGTCATCAGGGGTTAAACATAAAAAAATAAAAATATACATTTTTTTTTTTTTACTTTTTTTTTTTTTTTAAATGAAAATAGCCTATTTTTCCTAAATCCCACTTCAACTGGTCACAAAGAATGGCATGCAAAATACATTAAGATAAACCAATGCTTATCTACTTTTTAAAATGTTACTTGCCCACCTCGAAGGCACTGAACAAGTATGTAGCAAGTAAAGCCAGAGTGAAGTTAGAAGCCCTAATCTGCACACTTGTTCCAGGGCAGTGATGTAATGATGAAATTAAATCAGCGAGAGACGGGAAAAAGGTATTCTCAGAAGTAGTCAGCAATCCATTAGTTGCCATACACCTTTCAGTTCCTGTAGCAGAAATCTATAAAACTGTGTGTGGTCCATTCTCAAAGCAAATTTTCACTTTCGATACTCCCCCTGTGAAGGTTCTCCTCCGCAGGAAGACCGTGTTTTCCATGTTTCCCCCATTCCCTCTCTATATACAGGTGGTAGGGGTCATTTTTGGACTCCTGCTTTCTGGATCTGGTATACGCTAGTATAAGCCCCCCTGCCAGGCAGCCATAGAAGATCATTATTAGCAGGATATACAAGTATGCATCATCATTTTCACGATCTTCACTTGCAGGAGGACTCGTGCTATTGGCCTGCTCCAGCTGCTGGAGGATTTGCGTCAGGAGTTTTTTCAAAGTTGATGCATCACTACAGTTAAGATTCATAACGAAGCTTCTCCTTGTCCAACAAATAGGTAATTGTGGGAAAACGTTCCAAACCGCGTGTACAAGGATGGTAGTCACATCACCAGAGGCAGATCCACATCTAGATTTTTCCTCTCCTCACCATGTAGTGCCTGTGAAATAATGAACTCATTAAACAAGGAGAAAATCGGTGTCATTTCAATGTATCTTCTAATATAATATGCAAACTACAATATCATCATCAGTACCAAACAAATAGATAATACTGCAGCATGTACACTAATAATATGAAGATTCAAGTGGAGCTCCAACCAAAGCATCTCCTGATTTGGAGAGTACAGAAGTGATGTCACCCTTGTATGTACCTTGCTCCTCCACGGTCATCCGTCAAGACTTTATAAACCCCAGCATTTCAAGATATGGGGAGTACGTGACTCTCACTTTCCTCCCAAAATGCAGTGTTCAGGGCTGAGTAGCCAACTGCCAGAACTAAGTACTATTATTGGAAAGGGGGAGAAAGTCATGAACCCCATGTAAGCTCCAGAACTGCCAAACACAGAGCTTACAGAGGTGATAGACTCAGGAAAATTGTTAACCGCTTCCCGACCGCCCTATAGCAGAAGTACTGCTACAGGGCTGCGCAAAATCACGTATATATACACGATTCTGTATTTCTGGGTAGGGGTCGTGTGCTCTCCCTACCACGCCGCTATTGGCTCCTTGGGATGTCACCCAATGGGTCCCAGCTGCCGACTCTGGGCTGCGACTTCATGATCGTCGGTGGAGCTAACAGGGGAGAGGTCAGTATGTAAACTACACAGATCTCTCCCCTATCAGCAGGAACAGACTGCTTTGTATTACTCTGCACAGCAGAGCAATATAAAGCAGCTTTTTTCCTAGAAAACAGCACACAGTTAACCCTTTGATCGCCCATGCTACATGATGTTAACCCCTTCCTGCCCAGTGTCATTAGGACAGTGTCAGTGCTTTTTATTAGCACTGATCACTGTATTGGTGTCACTGGGATGTCACCGTGACACCGAGTCAGTTCCCCCCTAGTATCAGAATGCCCGCTGCAGTCCCGCTATAAGTCGCTCATTGCCACCATTACTAGTAAAAAAAAAAAAAAAAAAAAAAAATTGCAGTACATATACAGCCATTTGTAGACGCTATAACTTTCAAGAAAACCAATATAATTTACACGTATTGGGATTTTTTTTTTTAGCAAAGACATGTAATAGAATACATCTTGGCTTAAATTTATGAAGAAATTAGATTTTAAAAAAAATTTTTTTACTGGATAAGTTTTATAGCAAAAAGTCAAACATTTTTTTTTTTGCAAAATTGTCAGTTTTTTTGTTTTATAGCGCAAAAAATAAAAAGCACACAGGTGATCAAATACAACTGAAAGAAAGCTCTATTTGTGGGGATAAAAGGACATACATTTCATTTATGTACAACGTTGCATGATCGTGCAATTGTCAGTTAACGTAACTCAGATCCGTATCGCACAAAATGGCCTGGTTGGGAAGGGGGGTAAATCCTCTGAAGGGCAAGTAGTTAATGAGGGGCTGTAAATAAAATGGGTATTGCTTTTATTTAGGTACTCCAGGAAAATAACACATTGTGACCACTAGATGGAGCTGACAATCATAAGAGAATCAAAATGCAAACAATATGGGAATCATTAGATGAGCCTGTGCAAACTTGCTTGAGATATCCGCATGAATTATTATTTTGTTACATAGACTGAGTGTATACCTCCAAATTAAAATTCCCATGGACTACAAAATGCAAATATTTGTCTTCTTTTTTAGTGGGAAATGATTCTATATCCAACCAGCACTGCTGCATAAGGAACTTAAGAAGTGGCTTTGAGAAGCTATGAGACGTCTTCAACATTAGGCCCTGTTCACACTTAGACAATTTGGAATTGTATGATTCTGCCCGTGATTCCAAATCGCACTACAATCGCAGCAAAATGCGTGATGCAAGTTTAGGTGCCATTCATCCTTACTGGCACCCCAAGTGTGGTGTAATTTTGCAGTGATTGTCGCAAGTAAAAATGCACCCGTCTCAGGGCCCAAGTTTGGTCCTTGGGCTTCTTTGCTGTGATAAACGCAGGTAGGGTAGCACATTCAAGTGAATTGGATGCTCTATGAACAACATGCAGAATTGCCTGAAAATCACCCACACAAAATTGTGATCGGGAACTTGAGGTCCTAGTACAAGGAGTGTGAACAGGGCCTTAACCACTTCCCATCTGGCCCATGTATATAAACGGCCTAACGGGAGCAGTGCAGGAGCGGGTGGCTGTTTATAAATGGCCTCCCCGCCCCCCCTGCTTGTGCGCGCCCTGGGAGTGCGCAGCACCACGATCCGGTGCCCGCTGTGTCCAGAGGACACAGCTGAACACCAATCGTTGTACGGGACCTCTGTGTGAGGTCCCAATCGTGATCACTGATTGGCCAATCAGTGACACATGAACAGTAGAAAACAAGATGTCACTTCTGACATCATTGCTTACTACGTGTGAAATCTGCGAATGATCACAGAGGTCACATGGTACAAGGCTATTCACAACAGCCTTGTAACATGACAAGCTGCGACCAATCACAGCTCACACAGTATTTCTCAATTGCTGCAAGAATGCAGCCAGAGAGGAGGAGAAATTATTGCTTTTACAGCCTATGGTATAAAACAAAAAATCTTCATCACCCTCCACAAGTAGTACAGTGTCACTATGGTGACACTGTACTACTAGGGTGACAGTATGTAAAAAAAAAAAAAACAAATATAAAAATTAAAATGTAAAAAATGTTTTTGAAAAATCATAATTTTTGGTTATAAACTAATTTGTTTTTGTTTTTTTTTTTACTAAAAAGATAACTGAATAAATTTTGGCCAAGATTTATGAAGACATTTAATTGCAAAATTTTATAAGAAGAAAACACTCTTCAAAATTTTGGAACTTTTTCATTTATATAGCAAAAATAAAATAAAAATCCCAGTTGTGAATAAATACCACCAAAATAAAGTTTTAGCTGTCTCAAAAAAATGCTAAAAAATTCATATGGGTACAGTGTTGCATGACCGCGCAATTGTCATTCAAAGTGTGATAGCACTGAAAGCTGAAAATTGGCCTGGACAGGAAGGGGGTGAAAGTGTCCAAACTTGAAATGGTTACAGGTCCTGATAAATGTGACTCACTATTAGATATATTGGAAAATGTTTGTAAAAGAAGTTGCTGTCACAAAAAACAAAAACAAATTTATTTATGGGTTTATATAATATTCTCAAGTCTCAGTGAATACAGAGCTACTAAATCCCAAATCTGACATCTATGAAGATACAAGCACTCTGTTTGCGTTCTCTCATTAAGTACAGCACATGCTCTTTCAAACAATTGCTTCACACTTGGTAAAACTTTTGCAATAATGTATAAGAAAAAGGTCTAGTAAGATCAGTGAAAGATCCCGGTTGCACTGGGTGCGATTTGGCATGCCATGTGACTTGCAAATCGCATGCCAAGTCGCACCCTATTGTCTGCAATTACAGCGGTCATATCAGTGCGGTTCCGACTTGGTTGGAGCCGCACCGATACATGCACTTCTTTTGGTCCATTTGCATTGACATCTGTGTCAGACGTCTTGAAAAATCACACCTGGAATCGGTATCTCACCCGACTATGAAATAGTGCGACTTCACTGTAAGTCGCACAATTTCAAAGTCGGGCTTGATGTGACCGGGGTGTAAATCCTTACTTTCATCACTTCAAACTAGACCAATACCAGGTGCTCAGTCCCACCGCAAACAAGGCAAGATGCTTTGTCTTCTTGCTGGCCATTTCACATCACCGCATTACTGTGGTGTGCCCAGGAAAATTGTACGAAATGCAGTGCAGTGCATCACAACCCACCACCCCGCACTGTGCTGCAGCCAAGAGTACATCATGAAATGTCCCCACCGCAGAATACAATAGCACTGGGCAAGGGATCCCCCATCAGCACTTTGTTTCTGGGGGAATTAAGAGATTTTCTTTTCTGCAACCTACGGCTGCAGGAAAGAACATTGAATCATCTATGACGGGCTTGACAAATTTGCTTTGAGTCTAGGAGGCAGCTAAAAAAGTTAGGAGCCAGGTTTTTTTTAGTGTAGCGTGGGTTGTCAGCGCCCGGGACTTCACACAATGCAATTTGCCACGTGACAATCACAGCAAAACTGCACCACATTTTAGGCGCCATTGCAAAATAATGGCACCTGAACCTGCGTTTTGCAAACACAGGGATTCTGCTGAGATCCCAAAACACCCAGGTGTGAATTGAGCCACCCTGGTTCACACATGCAATTCTGGATTCATTTTGAAACTCACAGATTTAAAAGACAGGCTAGATCAGCAATGGGCAAACTACGGCCCGGCGGACCTTTTAATCCGGCCCGCGGAGCTAGGCTCCCGCTAGGCTCCTCTCACAGTCCGCCCTGAAGACCGGTGTAGCATGAAAATCTGTCTCCTACGAGGATCTGTCCCCCTCGACATATCTGCGCATGTGCCGGAGATCGCCGATCAGCTGCTAATGCCTGAAACTGGCACATGCGCAGATACGTCGAGGGGGACAGATCCTCATAGGAGACAGAATTTCATGCTACACCGGAACGGCGCGGGAAAGGGCGAGAGGAACGCGCGGAGCAAAGGTAAGTGAATTGACACAGGGGGGACTTAATATGGGGGATGAATTAATATGGGGAATGAATTACTATATGGGGGATGAATTACTATAGGGGGGATGAATTACTATAGGGGGGATGAATTACTATAGGGGGGGATGAATTACTATAGGGGGGATGAATTACTATGCTTACTATGGGGGAATATTACTATATACTTACTATGGATGACACATACACATCATTCATCTACTCTTGGTCCGGCCCCCGGGTCCAATATATGAACCCATTGCGGCCCTCAAGTCAAAAAGTTTGCCCACCCCTGGGCTAGATATTTTGAGTGTCATTATGAAATTGTCCTGTGCAAGTTTGAAATAGTGCGTTCCAGACTTGCAAGTGATAGAGTGGCATGCGGAGATAAGTGTTCACAAAGGATTGCTATGGACAGGAGTTTTCCCATTGCTATG